GTTCCTGAGCACCTTGGAGGGCAGTTGGAAGTCTCTCAAGCGTCTGAGGTGGTAGAGACGCTGATGAAAAGCAGATTTGTTCAGTGATTGTTTTCATGGTGTTTTTATTGCAATAACACTAGTGCAGATTTAATCTCTATGACAGCGGCACACTAGACACACACACATAGACGCACACATGCAGGTGCTCTGAAATGTGTATGTTTGTATGTGTTCATGCACACTGCACTCTCCAACTGACAAACCATCTGTTTCTTCCTCTGAGACTTTATCGGTTACCCACTCAGGAGATATTAGATGCCCCTAGAGTTTTAATTGAGTCTATTTGTGAATAAAACTAACGGCAGTAGGGCTGCACAGTGATTTTGTGGTCTACATGCTTATTTAGGACAATTAAAAATAACATCAACAATCACATCAATGTACTTTGTTTTAAAAGCATCATGAGTTACAACACACTCCTTCCTTCCATGGGGCCCACTTCTGGGGGTTTCAAAATGTCACATGAACATGCAACCAATTTACCCTCAAAATCACAGTTTTGTATGAGAATTTAAATATCTCGCGCTGCCGGGAGTGAATTCTTGCATGAATGTGTCATCTCCCTGTGAGGCAGTCTTACTTGCTCGGGAACCCATAATAACACAACACCCAACACCCATAATAACAACAACACCTGGCATCACAGCTGTGATGCCAGGTGTTGTTGTTTGTGTACGTCTGTGTCAGACACGTGGACCACGTGTCTGACACAGACGTACACAAACAACACAAAATAGGCCTATAACTTTCCCCAGCCTGCGTGAACCCGCATGGCTGTTGCGCTACTGGACTCGCGCGTGTACCCGCGCAGTCAATGAGCTGCACCTGCCTGCGTGAAACCACACGGCATAGGCCCGTGTCAAACTGCGCGGCCGTACTCACGTGAACCCGCGCAATTAAGGACCCGTCGCTCTCTTTTGTTTATAAGCTTGCGATTAACCGCACGGCTCAGGTCCGCGTGAACCCGCGCGGCTACAGCGCTCTTCTTTGTACAGTACTTACTTGGTGTTGCTCTTGCGTTAATCTCGAATCCCGTCAATCATCATCCAGCGAGGAGAAAAAAAACAGACAGCTAATCCACCGGCCCGATGACGAATTCTCACGTTTCGGGACTTTACTACAGGAACTTCTATAAGTCCTGGCTGACGTCTTTCGGCGTGTCTCTTTTTCCCCTCGGTGAATGTCAATTCTAGGGATCTGGCTCGAAGGACCAATTAATGATGGGTTTGTAGCTTAAACCCATTCACTGGAACGTTCAAGACAATTTACTACACAGCAAAAGCAAGACACAAGTAGGCAAAGTTCTTTGTGTTACTCATGCATGAGGGAGACCTGCCTGGAGCCAAGTGTCGTTCCACCCACTTGACCTCCGTCAGACTCTCAGCCAGGTTCCCCACTCCTTTTATTGTAGTTACCGTACATGAATATGCATAGGGTCATTAACATACGACGTTTCATATAGGTACACATGTGGAGAAAGAATACCTTGTCTGTGTGTGTTTGTGTATGTGTGTGTGGTCAGAGTGAGACCCCATAAAGACTTCCCTAAACCTGCTGGTCTGGAAGTCCAGCAGTTCATCTAAACAAAAGGCACTTAGACTAAAACAGATATACGTGTGTTTGCTATACCATAGAGCAGATATAACCTCTCTCCTGACCTGAAGTTGTGTGTGCATGCCAGAGTGCTCTGGGAGGCACACAGTCTCCACAGACTACTAAGGATCAAACCTCTACCAACATGACATTGATTATAAAACTCTAAGCATATATGAGTAGACATTTCTAAGCATAAATGACAATCAACAATACAAATCTAACAAACGTGTTTGTGCAACACCTGGTACAGCGATTTAGGAAGCAGTGCCTGACGATAGTTCTGCCACAGAGGTGCCACGGCAGGCTTAAGATTAAAGTAAATGAGTTGTTTTGCTCACTCTTTCTTTTGTAAATATGTGCTCAAATGATCTATAAATTTAAGACCATCGTGCTTCTCTGTAGTCAATGACGGACCCAGTGCTGTTGAGAACGCACAGGTAGTAGGATCTTTTTAAAAATAACACAAATAATGAAGAGAACAGAAAATGGCCAAACAACAACACTGGAAAAAAAAATCCTCTTCAGAAGACTGAAGTTTCACTGTACTTTTAACATAACTTCACATCTAAAATGTTGAATATTAGCCCCTAAAAGTAGCAAGAAACTCAAATAAACATCAGTTTGCAATTTAAAAAAATCTTGCTGTGGATACATTTACCAAATAGTTTCATAATGCTTACAATAATATTGTTCATAAAAAAGAAAATACAAAGAAAATACTGGCAGCTGATTATGTTCCCTGATGTTAGTCCAATCTAGAGGGATGGACCTTAATTAATCCTTTATTTCTGCCTTAAAAACATCTTTGACAAAGCCGACCTGCTCCTGCTGCTATGGTTTGAAGTTCAAGGATGTTAATTATTTATTAAGGGTTCTTGAGGTAGCAACAAGGATACAAATGCTGATATAAAAGTACATCTATCCATCCATCTACATCTGCTTTATCCGGGCCGGGTCGCAGGGGCAGCAGTCTAAGCAGAGAAGCCCAGACCTCCCTCTCCCTTGCCACCTCCTCCAGCTTATCCGGGGGAGCAACAAGGCGTTCCCAGGCCAGCCGAGAGATATAATCTCTCCAGCGTGTCCTGGGTCTGCCCCGGGGCCTCCTCCCAGTGGGACATGCCCGGAACACCTCACCCAGGAGGCGCCCAGGAGGCATCCTTGTCAGATGCCCGAACCACCTCAGCTGGCTCCTTTCGATGTGGAGCAGCAGCTGCTCTACTCTGAGCCCCTCCCGGATGGCCGAACTTCTCACCCTATCTCTAAGGGAGAGGCCAGCCACCCTTCGGAGGAAGCTCATTTCCGCCGCTTGTATCCGCGATCTCGTTCTTTCGGTCACTACCCACAGCTCGTGGCCATAGGCTTTTACACTCAGCTCCCTCTTCACCACAACGGACCGGTGCAGCGTCCGCATCACTGCAGCCGTGGCACCAATCCAAGTACATGATGAAGAAATACCAACAAATGACAGAGAAATGTGGATGAAGGATGTCGTTCTTTGATGATGAGACTAAAAAGGTCAAAGTTTGCTTTTTTTGCTCTGACTCTATCTTGAATCACAACAGACTTCTGTAATCTGTATTTTAAAAAGCTGTTAGTGTATATCTCTTTACTGGTTTAATTTCCAGGATATGTAGAAACTCCCTACTAACCAACACTTTCGTTTTTCCGCTAAATGGTTTAACACACAGATAACTGATTGAATTATAGACTGTGCTGTTCTATGTGCTTCAGCAACTTGTTGCCTCTGTGTTTTTTTTTATCTGAACATCAGTGTTTGTAATGATCATTTGTAGTGAGTTATGCTTGAGAAAAACATCTTAAATAATGTGAACTCCCTCTAAGAGTTTGTTAGCACATTTCATTATACTTCAACTCAGTGTGTTAAAAACTTTATTTACCACTGGAAGACAATCACTTCAGATGGACAAACATTGATGAGGTTTAAAGCCAGCATTAACCTGATAGTACCTGAAAGGCACTGAGAGGAGACGTGCAAATAAACATTTGCCAAAAGAAGCCACATACATGCATTTGAGACGCTCACTAGCAAAACTTCAAATGGAGAATGGACACTCACACTAAGCAAGCACTCTACAATTTGAGCTAACTCCCCTGTGTCCTATGTGCTAGTTTGTACAGTCTACACTTTGCCCACACTTGATGTACCATCATATTAGGGAAGCGGCACAAATCCTGAAATCTGCAATTCGCCTAGTAGGGAGCTGAGAGCCTGACAAGGCAGATCGCTGACAATCCACTTTGATGGAAACGTGACTGAATGCCATCAGCCGTAGAGACAGACTAAGGAGCTTCGACATCCAAGGGACTGTGGACTACAGCTCTTTTACATTGAATGAAGCCAGCTGAGGGAGGTGGTTCTAATCAAGGTGCTAAAGCAAGGTCCCGAGTTGCTTCCCTTGGTTTTCAGGGTAGGGCAAGTGGGCCATAAGGAACATTGCTATTCTGGAAACAGGATATCTTTTTGCTATAGTATTAGCCGACCATTCTCTTTAACGTAACCTGTGCAACATTTGTGCAACATGTATCTTTATTTGAAGCCTGATGCTGGCTTAAGGGCTTCTTTAATGACTTTAACTCAAATCTAAACTAACTAATATCTGAACAAATCTGAAACGACAAGAAGCTGATCTTATCATGGTAAGGCGCTTTGTTGTCTTGATGTCAGTGGCTTTTGTCTCTCCTTTGGCTTTCTTATTATCCCAGCAGGGTACCTGATCACATGCTGGGTGCAGGTGATGATTGACCAGATCTTGTTCTTCCCATTTAGCTGACTCCCCAGGACTTGCCTAACTCTCTGAAGGTATATGTTGGTTGCAGCTTTCCTCACAGCCTCTTTGTAACTCCTATTTGCTGTGTGATTCCCAGGTACTTGTAGCTGTCCTCAGTGTCTGCTATGTTGCCTTCTGACAATGCAATCCCCTCAGTTCTGACTAGCTTCACTCTTTTTGTTACCATCAAACTACCGTTTGATCTGCAGTATGCTAATGTCAAAGACACTTATGGAGCTAATGCCTTACCAAAACTTGGCAGATCAGACCATAACTTGTTTTGTTTTAGCAGACCTGTAATAAACCCTGTGTGCAGAGACAGCTTGCAGCTAAACCTATGGTAGGGAAATAGATACCCGATGGTACTGAGGCTCTACGGATCTCCTAGGAATGCACAGATTGGAATGTGTTTTTGGAAACAGATAAGAACAGAATGGACACTGGCAGGCAGGTTGCTTATTTTAGTACATCAGCTTCTATAGAGACACAGTCATATCTACAAAGACTGCTGTTTTCACAATAACAAACCCTAGATCACAGGTGGCACAAGGCAATCCTCAACCATAAAAAGATATACAAAGAAGATAGAAAGAAATCTACAAGTTCAAGTTCAAATTTTATTTGCCACATGCAGTGGCAGGTTGCCCTGCAGTGGAATGAACACGCCCCCGACCATACACACACAACACAGACATCACATGGGGATACAAGTCAGAGAACGTTGCATTACAGAAAAAAAACACTGAAATATACAACGGGAAAGTACAAGAGGAAAAAAAGAGACCTCTACTCATGCTGGGCTCCTGGGAGGACAGCATGAGAACAGGAAACAAAAAAAACCTCCTCTGCACAGAAAGCACATAAATGTCCACATCACAACATTATAGAGCACGTGACCAGCAACAGGGTTGGGTAGGGGATAAGGAGTAATCCCAGGCAACACAGCAGCCATCCTATCACTGCGCCGACTCTCCACAGCGCAGGCCCAGACCCGCCTCGTGTTCCCAGGAGGCAACAAGCATCGAAGGCATTGGAAGGGGAGGGGGGATGTGTGAGTGCTTATCAGTGTAAATGTATGTGTGTGCGTGTCCATAGTTCAGCTGAGACAGTGTCCTTCGCCCTATCAGGCTAAGTAAACAGTCTACCAGCCAACCCAGGTGGCCTGGCATAGAGTGGGAAGAACAGTCAACACACAGTTGTTATCAGGGAGTTTTTGTTCGGCTCCAGCCTTGAGCCCACAGCTGGCGCCGAAGGGGTATCAGTTCAGTTCAGTTCAGTTTATTTTTATCTCAAACATTTCAAACATGTGCCTTCACAATCATTACAAAATATCATTCCATTATTTGTTTGAAAATCCGCATTGATGTTGATGATTTTTACAATAAAGCAATACCTGTAAGGTGTGGAAAAGAATCAATACCATCATTGGCTACAACAGCAACAAAAGACAATGACTTATGGGTGATGTGGAGGACTGTGCTGCCCAGCTCCACAGGGTGTTTAGTCTAAGTTTAGGGGCAGGTGCCAGCACCGAAAAACATCCTGTATTGTGCCACTACCAAAAATAAAGTATCCAGCTAAATGAAACAACTGCTAGAATAAAAAAGCTGCATTTAACAGAGGGACCGTATCCTAATTCTTTTTGGTCACAAGTCATCATTTCTACTCAATGAGGCATGGTCATCAGAGAAGAGCAAAACATTCAAATCTTATAAAATAACTCAAATATAAGCAATGGATGTAAAAATAATAATAAATACAAACAACTCTGGATCCCAAATCTGAAAACAGTTTGACGGCACAAAAATAATCAAAATTAGAAAGAAGATAGTTCAAATATCCTGAAAGTTACCTTCTTATTGTTTACTTTAGAAATGTTTTATACTAACTGCTAACTTTAGAGCAATTTGATAAAGCTGTGAGATAGAAAAATAAGGGTCTTGTTCAAGACATAAGGCAAAACACAAAAAAGCTATGCAAGAGTTTGTGGAATTCTAAGATACAATTTATAAGTACATATTAATTGTAGTTTTACATACCAAATCATATCACTTTAGCACAATTACTTATTTCAATGCAACAAAATCTATAGAAGTGGCTCAGTCTGTCAGTGGCAGAAATGTGAATTTATTAAAAGCAGGTTCATCTAATGATAGAAGAGATGCATCCCAAAGTACAAACTGCTTCATGCTGATTATTTCACATTTACCTCCTAAAAGCAGCTCAGAAAAGTTTACAATTCAACTCAGCTTCAGAGAGAGAGCAATTTAAAATCTGAGCTCCATTTGGTAATGATGTTCAATTATCAGAGAAAACTGAAAACCTAGTAAACCTCAGAAATTAGCCTGTAATGAAACCTTCATGCAGTGAAGCTTTCTAATGTTTACATTTTTTCCCAGTTTCATAATGAGGATTTTGTTACATGTTTTACACTCAGTTATTGTATATATTCTGTAATTAGGCCAATTATTTTATTTATGTTATTTGTTTGTAATGTATAGATCTTTTAAAAAGGATTCTTATGTTCACATAAAGGTACCTAAACAGTTAATGAGTGTCTACACTTCTACACCACAACACTTTGGCTAAAAATTTTTGTTGCACTGCTGAAAGCTCACCAGCTGTTGATTGGCTTCACTTAAACTATGCTTTTGTAAAGTAAAGATCCTGCAATAATACAAAGAACATGGAGAAAACCTCAACAGTCAGATGAAGCTGTTTGAGCAAGCCAGTTGCTCACAGCGGGAAACTCCCTTTTAAACAGGAAAAAACCTTTGGAAGAACCTGGCTCAGGGAGGGGAAGCCATCTGCCACAGGTGTTTGGGGATTGTGTATTTTTCTTATGTTATTTTACGATGTAGCTTTTTATTTCGAGATGTTGCCAACTCCATGCTGTACATAAAGAATTCAATGAGAAATTCCAGTTTTGACCATTTTGGTGCCAAATGTCTTCACCATTGGTGGTTTGCTTGAGTGCAGTTCAGATTTTTTTCTTTAATGTTACCTAACAAAACAGCGCGGAGGAATGAGTGTGAAGTGCAACAGCAGGGTAGAGAACATCAGTGAAGGTTGATTTGAAGGTGTGGAGGTGAACGAGACTGCCAGAGGAAATTCTGTAAAAGGACAAAATTTTGTCCTCCGAATCCAGATACACCCCGACACGACTGGAGCGCAAACACTGAGAAGATACACAGACCTTCTCTTTGTTGTGCTGAACAAAAAAACCATCATCAGAGCAAATCAGACACCACGACTTGTCATTGTGTCCCAGCTTGCAATCATCAACATCCCCTTTCCTGCCAATGTTTCTGTATGTTAACCCAACACAGAAGGGCTCTGACACCTCCAACTCAAAGTAACAGCGTCCTTTTAGTCCCTGTTTACACAGAACTTGCTGACAGCAATCAAACCTCTCTGTATGATCAGGATATGGCTGCTCCTCCTCCACCCAGGTCACCTTTCTGTTCCCTTCAGAGAGCAGCAGGTTCTTGTGAGCTGTGCTGGAGTTCAGACTGGGCTCACAGGCATCTGGAGGTAAGAAAACACTTTATTCACAAATAGCACTGATTTCTAAGGTCAATCATCTAAAGCGGTTTTCAAAAAATTTTATTTCACACCTTCACTTTTAGGGGATGTGGGTTAGAATATTCTTTTCTTTTCTCTTCTACATTTCTTGAACTCATCAGTAAACAGTCACAGTGACAGCTGTCATGTCTGAATGTTACCTGTGCAAGTAGCACAGGTAACATTCAGACATGACAGCAACCAGTTGAAAACCCGCTAATGCCCAAAGCCACTGGACATTTGCATTTTCTTATGTACCTTTGTCAGGTAAATCCTAAACAGTTCAGACCTGACCAGAGTAATTAATATTAATAATTCAATCTTTCTATTTTTATTATTTTTATTTTCTGGTAAATGATCTAATTTACATAAAGAAAACCCAGTCAGGCAAATGATGAACACATTATTATATTTATTCATAAATTTATTAAAGAAATTATACAGTTTTACATTTCTGTGAGGGTCACATTTACTTCAATTTCAAGGATTAGCAGTTAAATGAAATATAAAATTAGTTTCAATCAGAGGAGTATGGGCACTCCTACAAGCTTATTAGGCATGTAGATTTTTTTAAACTGTGCAAAAAACTGTGATGCAAACAATGAAGTAGAAAACCTCCCATTTTTTTGTTTTTTTGCTTATTTTTTATATCCATAAAATGTTGATGGTAGGAACTTTTTTTAAATAATCTACAAAATAGAGAAAACATAGATGACTAATTTCAAACTTCTGACTGGTAATATATTATTGGTTATTAAGTAAATAATTATCCTGTTTGCACTTTCTTACTTGATCACAGCTTTCAGTCAAAAGCATTTTCACAGGTACTCACATTTCCTGAATCCTGGTTTCATCCGGTGATTTCCACCATGTTCAAAACTGAAAAATTATAGTTGAGAATTAGATGAAGCATATTAGCAATAGCCAAAATTTATAGATGCCATTTATAGCCTAAAACAAAATGTTTTCATTGTTGCTTTTGACATTAATACTAATACTACTACTACTAATAATAATAATAAAAAAACATGCAGTTTTGCTATAGCTCAATAGTATTATATTTAGTTCTGTAGAAAATCAAAAAGATGGCACTCTTTGATCATGATCTGGAACGCTTATGAGAAAGGTCAGTGAAAAAGCTGTGCACTGACAGGTGTTAAACCACAAAAACCACAAGTTCTAATAAGCTGCTTGCCTTTTTTCCCAGTGAGCCACAAGAGGCAATTATGAGCATATGTGTCTTTATAACGTAGATACAGATGTTAAAGATAAAATAGTGAGCAGTGTGTGCGTGTTTTTTCTGAGCAATATTTCTTTCAAAAACACAATGTTTAAGGGTCAAAAATAAATTTCCAGTTTGACCCGCTAACCTGCCCACCTACATTAACAAGCCATACAAACATAGGTTCCGAGATTTCCTGTTTTCTCTTTGTTATTTGGGGGCTGAAACAGTGGATGACACAGGGCCAGAATTAAAATTACTTGAGTTGGCTGAGGTTGTATTTTGGATCATCCTTCAGCTCAGAGAGTTTCTTTTCCCCAACTCCTCCTGGATGGTTATAGCTCAGGTCCAGCTCTTTGAGATGAGAAGGATTAGCCTTAATGGATGTGGCCAAAAACCCACAGCCTTTTTCTGTCACCAGACAACCAGATAACCTGAGAAAACAATGTTTGGTATATATCAATGCAGGTTTTAAAAGTTATTTTAGAACTACATCAGCAGTAGTAAAATTGAAATCATAAATTACAAGCACAAGAAAATTATGTGGATTGAGATGGGGGTTATAGTATTTCTCAAAACAAAATAAATAAAAAGATTTTACATTAACAGATGTTGGTTTTCAAAAATTTAGACAGAAAAACCTTAAACTGTCCAAAGAACATTTTCTGTGGACAGAGTTGAGTTGTAACTTGCAGCTGGTTTGGTGGGTTGTCCATCTATTTGTAAAATGGCACGGTATTTTAAACATGTACCTCAAAGTTTTCAGTCTGCAGCACTGACTCGACAGTCCTTTACACAGCAGCTCTACTCCTGAATCTTTCAGGTCATTGTTGCTCAGGTCCAGATGTCGTAGAGGTGAGAAGGGGAAGGTGAGACCAAAGGCCAGATGCTCAACCCACTCTTCAGTCACTTTACAGTCTGCTAGTCTAAAAAGGGTAATAAGGTTTTTTATTTAAATAGAAATGAAGAATAAGTATGTAATTGCCACTGGGGGCAGAGAGGATTTGTACCTTTCTTTTTGTATTATATCCTGTTCAACAGTATTGTTGATTCAGCTTTAAAGATGAACAAATAACAATGAAATAAAACTTACAAGGCTGTCTTGCTGCTCCTCACTGCTGGTATCAGCCTCCGTCTGCCCTCCTCTGATGTGTTGTAACTCTTCAAGTCCAAGACTTCCAGATCCTTCTTTGATGCCTGCAGCATGTAGGCCAGTGCAGAGCAGTGCAGGGGAGTCAACTCTGTTTCTAAATGATCTGACATTTCAAGATATTCCTGAATTTCATCTTTGACTTTGTGATCTCTCATCTCGACCATAGTCTGGAAAAGGTTGATGCAGCTGTCTGGAGAGAGGTTCTTCCTTCTGATAGACTTGAGGTAAGTCAAGATTTTCTTTTCAGTATCTTGACTTTGATCTGGTGAAGGCAGCAGACCATGAAGGACTCTGCGATTTGGTTCAACCAGGAGGCCAAGAAGGAATCTCAGGAAGAAGTCCAGGTGGCCATTTTTCTTCTCCAGCACTTTGTCAACCATCATCTTTAAAAGATCAAGTAACGTATGTTCTTGGCTCTTTAGATCGAGGAAGCTGCTGAGCTCTCTGGTATCATTATTTATGAAACAGTCATAGATGTGGAGAGCTGCAAAGAACTCCTGCAGAGTCAGATGTACAAAGAAGAAGACCTTTTTCTGGGAAATGATTTCTTCTTCACGAAGTACTGTGGTGCAAAATCCAGAGTACATGGAGGCTTCTTTAATGTCAATGCCAAAGTCTTCCAGGTCTTCCTCATAGAAGATGAGGTTGTTCTTCAGCAGCTGCTCAAATGCAAGCTTGCTGAGTTTCAGAAGAAATTCTTTGTGTGTTTTCAGAAGCTTTTCTTTGTTTGTCTCAACCTTCTTGTCATATTTTCTGTTTCTACGCTTTGTGTGTGCAAACAGGAAGTGTGACATCATCTCTGTAAGAGTTTGAGGAATT